ACCTGGACAGCTGCTGCGGCCAGCACATGGTGGGCTCGGAGCGTTACATATCCGACGACGTCGCCACCCCCACAGTCACTTACGTCACCGTGGCCAACAACACGCGCCTGCGCGCACATCACACTTAATGATGTATTGATCGTCCAGAACCTGCGCTTCAACCTTCTGTCCGCCGCACAGCTCATGGACTGCGGCGTTGACCTCAGCACGGATCGCGCGACGCGCGACATTCTGCTGCACTACGAATCACGCACCTTTCTCCGCAGGCAGATCGGACGAGCACACTCCGACAATGGGGTGTACGTCCTGGATTTCGACATCCCCGACTGCAGCGGCGACTCGCACGAGTTAATTGATTTCGTACCACTGCGCTTCGAGCACATCCACCGCAGGGATTGGAAACACCCTGACGGCAGGCCGTGGGTCCCGTATCATCCCCACCCACGCGAAACAGCGCTGCACGACCCCGACCCAGACGGCATCTGCAGGGACTGTCACACGCCGACGACGTCAACCAGCGCCATTGCCGGCCGCGGACTCGCCGCCATCGCCGAAGCAGAACGTCATGCGCCGCCAGAGGAAGGAATGTCTCAGCTCGAGCTTGGGATCACCACTCGCCGCGTGTTTGGCGCCGACCAAAGCCCCCACGCCGGACCACCCTCACAGCGGCTCGAACGCATTCTGCGCGGACAACGCCGCGGAACCTTGGACTCACGTGGAGTCGCGCGCCCTTACACCCTCGAAGAGTTTCTGCGGGTGTACCCCCCACTGGCGCGACCCCGCGGCAAAGCTTACCGAGGAACAAGAGGAAGCACTGGCGCGCCACGAAGCAGAGGAACTTCGCCAACAAAGTCTCGCCGAAGCGCGCGGGACATTCGCTTGTGGAGCATGGGGAGCCGAAGCGGAAGAAAGCGCCTCCAATGAAGGGGGGTGGGGAAGCGCCGGCGGCTGGGAAGCGAGAAATACCGGCGAATGGGGAGACAACGGCGGAACCTGGGCCAACGCAAGCGGCGGATGGGGCGCCGCGACTGGCTCCGACAACAGCGGCTGGGGAACTTCCCGCGAAGAACGAAGGGGGGGAGAGGATGAAACAGAGGAAACTGACGCAACACCTTCAGTCGTTCCCCTTGGTCGTCCCCCGCGCCATATTCCACTCGCATTACCTCCCCCTGACAATCCCCCACGTCGCGACCCATGGGACACCATCGTCTGGGGTAACGAGCCGTCAACCCCGCGTCGCACCGTCTACGGACCTGCCCCTGAGCCACGCGAACCCACCTTCGTCCCTGGAACCATCCCTGGGACCAACATCCCGCTCTCTGAGATCCGCGACAGAGAGTTTCTGGCGCTGATGCTGACCACCGCGGCAGCAGGAGAAGATGCAGAGGAAGCAGCAGCAGAACCCGCTACCGTACCTGACGAAGACCCTGAGGAAGCTCGCGCGCGCTACATGCGCACTTCCGGCTTTCGCGCTGACGATGCACTTTGGCACCAGCGCCTCGGACATCCTTCACGCGCGACGCTGAAAAACTGCATCGACGCTGGCGTCTTCGCTCCTGGCGCACTCCTGCGCCCTGATGGCACTGAAGTGAGAGGCGTGACACACCCGCGCAACTGCACCGTCTGCCCCGAAGCTGCGCTGAGCCACCAACCGTTCCCGCTGCTCGAGCCTGGGACAAATCGCTACCCCAAGCTACATTAGGTGTACAGCGACTTCCTGAACGTGGGGCACTGCGGAGTCGACGACGAAATGTACACGCTTACCTTCATCGACGCTGGAACGCGCTACGTGTGGGTCGTGAACGTCGAATCACGCGACAGAGCCTACGAGGTGTTCCGCCTCTGGCTAGCACATGCGGAGCGGCAATCTGGGAAGAAGCTAAAAATTTGGCAATCTGACGGCGCGGCAGAATTCAGGAGCAACCAGATGCAGACCTACTTGGCTCAAAAGGGGATCGAGCATCACATTTCTCTCCCCTACGCGCACCAGCAGCAGGGCGTAGCTGAGCGGACGAACCGCACGCTGATGACGAAGGTGCGGGCGCTGATGAAGCAGTCGAAATTGCCGCCGATCTACTGGACCTACGCAATGCACCACGCCGTGCGGGTGCATAACCTGCTTTCAACCACCGCCATCACCGGCAATCTGTCCCCACATGTCAAGTGGACTGGGACAAAGGGGGACACATCGATGCTCCGCGTGTGGGGGTGCATGGTTCAATACCGCCCGCCGACATCAACCATCGGCAAATTCGCCAGCCGCGCGCGCTGGGGAATTCACCTCGGCATCAGCCACGAGTACAAGGCATGGATCGTGCTGGACCTCCTCAGTCAGAAAACCGCCCACGCTCGCGACGTAATCTTCTACGTAACGATTCTTCCTCGAGCAATTCCGCCACGACGAGGAGACGAACGCAAACCGCATCTACGCAAATGACGGGCACAGCTATGCAACGCCCGAAGACGAAGCCGCTGCAGCAATTCTGGAGCAGGACACTAGGGGCGAGTTCACATGGGAAGATCGGCGCAGCAGCGACGACGACGACGACGATTCCTCGGGAGGAGGAATGGGCGGAACAGGCGGAAGCGGCAGAGGCGCAGCACCACCAGCGCCACCTGAACCAGAGAGCGATGACGACGATGTGCAGGAAGTCATCCCGCAACGTCGCCACGACAGCACCGTCTCAGGACTACAGCTGCTCGGGCTTCACACCGCAACCTCGAAGGCGCCACGTGTCATCGAGCCTCGAAACCCGCGCGAAGCTCTCTCTGGACCACACAGCAAGGAATGGCGCGAGGCGATGGACGCGGAAATCAAGGCGCTCGAGTCCAGTGACACCTGGGTGTTAGTTGACCGTGCAGCGATCAAAGGCGCAAGGATCCTCTCGGGGAAGTGGGTCTTCCGCGTGAAGACCGCAGCGGACGGAACGATCGAGCGCTTCAAGGCGCGTTGGGTGGTTCGCGGCTACGACCAGAGGCATGGCATCGACTTCGACCAGACATTCGCTCCAGTCAGCCGCCACACCTCCGTTCGAATCTTGCTCGCCATCGCAGCCGCAAGGCACCTGCCACTCCGCCAGATCGACGTGAAGAACGCGTTCCTGTACGCGTTAGTGGACGCCGTGATTTACGAAGAACAGCCGCACACATACGGCGAAGGGGACTCGCGCGTGTGTCAACTGCGCAAGTCGCTCTACGGGATCAAGCAGGCACCGAGGCTGTGGCAGCAGTATCTGCACAACATTCTACTTGAAATCGGGTTCAAGCAGATGCCCCACGATCCAGGAATGTACCGTCGCGATTTCCGCGGCGAATACATCCTCCTCACAGTTTACGTCGACGACTTGCTCTACACAGGCTCAGACAGCGAGCTACTCAAGCAGTTCGAGAAGGCCTTGGCGGGGCGCGTCGACATCACGTGCAACTACGAGGTGAAGCAGTTCTTAGGCCTCAACATCTCCTACGCGCCTGAGGCCATTCACCTCTCAGCGGCTAAGTACGCAGAGGAGTTAGGGAAGCGGTTCAACATCTCACCTGCACCCCTCTCAACTCCCTACCGAACCCCTGGACCGAACCACAAACCTGACAACAAAGCCCTATCCCCTGCTGGAGTTCAGACTTACCAGCAGCAGCTGGGATGCCTGCTCTTCGCCTCTGTCACCTGCAGGCCAGACCTCTCCTACATCGCAAGTCAGCTGGCCCAGTACTCACGCAAACCAACGGCTGAGAATCTTCTGGATCTGCAGCGCGCCCTGCAGTACTTCGTCTCAACGCCCAAGATTGGGCTATGCTACTCAACTACACCAACCCCATCCTTCAATCTCATCGGCTATGTGGACGCCGATCATGCAGCAGACCCCGACAATCGACGGTCCAGGACCGGCTTCCTGTTCCGACTCGAACCAACGGGACCAATCTCCTGGAATTCGCAGAAGCAGGAGCTAGTTGCCCTGTCGTCAGCCGAAGCGGAATTCATCGCAGCAACCGCAGCAGTTCGCGAAGGGCTTTACTTACAGGAACTTCTATAGGAGGCGAAAATTCCGGCTTCGCCCACCTTTCGTCTTCACTGTGACAACCAGAGCGCGATCCGCATCGCGAACAAACCTGGTTTCGTCAACCGCACCAAGCACATTGCGCTGCGGTATTTCTTCGTGAAGGACGAAGTGGACAAGGGCAAGGTCAACTTGACCTATTGCCCGACCGGTGACATGGCAGCGGACTTCCTCACGAAGCGACTGCCACGCCAGCAGTATCAGCACTGCTCCAAACTCAGCGGCGTGGTCAAGCAGGTCAAGTCGAGCTACGACCAGGAGTGAAGGGGGGTGTTACGAATAGTAATACTCGAATGTTACTTTGCACTCCTCACCGCAGCTAAGAGAAGCATGCAGTATCGAGAACGAACGCGAAGAGTCAGACGGTTAAGAATTGACTCGAAGCGTCAGACAGTTACAGCACATCTGGACCGTCGGAGCAGACGGCATCGGACAGCTGCAGGCAGGATGGTTTTGGCGGAAACAGCTTCGTAACTGTACGCGCCGAATGGTTGGGGATGCATTTGAATAAGGGAATGTACCCCTTAGAGTACATGGCTAGTTAGGTCGTTTCGTATTCCCCTGTACTCTTATTTATATCGTTGTATTTGCATGTCCTCATCATCTCAAGCATTTTACATTCACTCTGCTATTGAGGTCAAGGGCCCACCAACACTACCTTACTGCGTGCGAACCTTCCTGAGTAGATCCTGGTGACGATCAACCCTTGATCGTAGCACTGTTAAACTATATTTGTTGTTTGTATGTTGTAGGCTACAGTGGGGTAGCCACTAAGGGGTACAACCCCTTTAGGGTTTCATACTTGTATCACCTTCTTCTCTTAGTTCATCATTCTAGCTTATTATTCATGGTATTAAGAGCTATGGGTCCTTAGGACCTAAGTTTCTTCATCGGGCCCACTTGTTACCGCGTTACCCCACTGCCCTACCCCGAGTCGCGCTGCCCCTGTTAGCCGCGCGCCACTGCTTCAGCGCGTTTTATTATTATTATTATTATTATTATTATTATTATTATTATTATTATTATTATTATTATTATTATTATTATTATTATTATTATTATTATTATTATTATTATTATTATTATTATTATTATTATTATTATTATTATTATTATTATTATTATTATTATTATTATTATTATTATTATTATTATTATTATTATTATTATTATTTTTCGCGCTACTCTGCCTGCCCCACCCCGCGCGCCCTGCTGGCCGCGTCGCGCTGCTGACGCGTCGCCTCGCCGCTCGCGCGCCTGCCCTGCCCGTGCGCCGCCCGCCGCCGCGCACTGTCCTGCCCGTGCGCAGCCCGTCGCCGCGCCACCTGCCCTGCCCGTGCGCAGCCAACCGCCGCGCCAGCCTACCCTGCCCGAGCGCAGCCCGCAGCCGCGCCACCTGCACTGCCCGTGCGCAGCCGCCGCCACGCCTCCCTGCCCTGCATTTGCGCAGCCGCCGCCGCGCCACCTTGCCCTGCCCGTGCGCAGCCCGTCGCTGCGCCACCCTTCCCTGCCCGTGCGCAGCCCGCAGCCACGCCACCTGTCCTGCCCGTGCGCAGCTGCCGCCGCGCCTCCCTGCCCTGCCCGTGCACAGCCCGCCGCCGCGCCACCCTGCCCTGCCCGTGCGCAGCCCGCAGCCGCGCCACCCTACCCTGCCCGTGCGCAGCGCTGCCCGCCGCGCTCACTGCCTTGCACGTGCGTGCAGTCCGCTTCCTCCCCTGCCGGCCGCCCCTAACCTAGTGAGCGCCGCCTCTTGCTGCCCTGTGCACGCATCCTGCCGCTTGCCCTTCCTGCCGCCTTGCTGCCCTACGCTACCAACGATGGCGAATTCCAATGTTCTCAGCTTTGACGCAGAGGGCCGCCCGATCGAATTTGAAACCTGGTTAGACGACCTTAGGCTCTACCTTCAGTGCGAGTCTAAGGATCGTGTGTCCCTGTTCGCTCATACGTCTGGTAGCGCTGCCGCCCCTGCAGACACTGCTGACGCTGACACTCGTGACCAGTGGCTTATTCGCGACGCTGCTGCTCGCCTAGCTGTGCGAAACCACCTACCGCTAGCCGAGCGCGCGCACTTTAGCCAACAGAAAACCGCCAAGGACCTGTTCGACGCAGTCGTAGCTCGCTACAGCTCGCCTGCCACTGCTGCGCTAGGCCGTCTTATCCTGCCCTACCTCTTTCCTGACCTGTCCGCCTTTCCTACAGTCGCTGATCTCATCACCCACCTCCGCACTAGCGACGCTCGGGTGCGTGCTGCGACCCCTGCCGACTTCCTCACCAAGAACCCTCCCCCTATCCACTACACCCTCTATCTCCTAGTCACTCGCCTCCTTGACTCTCTTCGCACTGTCAGGGACACCTTCCTCGCCATGGACCCCACTGAGCTCACTATAGACCTCCTCGAAAAGCACCTTACAGCGGCCGAGGTTAGCATTAACGCTGTGGGCGCTTCTCGAGGCACTCCTCGCACCCCCTTCTTCGAGGGGTGTTCCCCCTCTCCCCTCCTCCCCTCTGTCGCCACTGCTGCTGCTGTCGACCTCCTTGGTGCTGAGGAGGTTGGGGTTGCGTCTGCTTCCAGTGGCAGGCGCCGCAGCGGCAAGGGGAAGGGCGGCAAGGGTGGTGGGGGTGGTGGGGGTGGAGGCGGTGGTGGAGGCTCGGGTGGTGGCGGTGGGGGTGGTGGGAGCGGCGGGGGTGGGGGTGGGGGTGTTGGGGTCGGTGATGGCGGCGGCAGTGGGGGTGGCAGCGGCGGAGGTGGCGGCGGTGGGAGTGGCAGCGGAGTCGGTGGCGGTGGTCGCAGTGGTGCGGCCCAGCGCGGCGGTTCTGGAGGCAGCCAGGCACAGCAACAGCAGCGCCAGTGCCTGCCCCGTACGCCGCAGGACCTTCGTGAGTGGTACGCGCAGCGTCAGTCGCCTGGGGGTGGTGGTACCTGCCCGTATGTCATTCGTACGGGTGAGCGTGCTGGTCAGACCTGCGGGAGGTTGCACACCCAGCACCGCTGCTTTTCCCGCCTTAGTGACGCCTGGGCTGAGCTGCTTAGGAGGGGAGTAGAGATCTTTGATCTTGACTATGATGCTATCCTTGCTGCCATGTATGCATTGACTGTTAGTGCTGAGGGTGACTGTTACCTGTGTGTTCCGCCAGACCCTGATATATGTCTGAAGTCTAGGCCGGAATGAATGAACTAGAATGAAGTTGGGTACAAATCTGAAATCCTAAAAGGGCTATACCCCATATTGGCTACCCCACTATAGCCTACACATATATATCACATATATAATTTGACACACCCCCATAGGTGAAGTGGGGGAGAGCAAGGGGTCACAAGACCAGTCAAGAAAAGCAAAGCAAGCTCAGGGTGGATCACAACGTCACCACACACACTGAGCACAAGCAAAGGGCCACAAGGCCAGTCCACATGCAGAGGTATATATGCAACAGAAACAGCACAGTGATCACTACCTAGCAAGAGCAAGCATGCAGGTATATGTATATAGATCACAGTACAAGCAAAGCCTACAGCAAGTGTGGAAACGTAGGTACAAGGCCTAACAAAGTACAGAAGCGCTGATGATCACCAGACGGAAGTGCCTTGGTGAATATATCAGCAGTGTTGGCCCGAGTGGCCACGTGAGCAAGACGAAGCTGACCTCGCTGCTGCAACGCAGAGCGATGTGCTTCGTTCTGTGCTCCAGTCTGTGCTCCTCACATAAGGCAATGGCCGCCTTGTTGTCAACGTACAGAACTGGAGGAGAACGAGGCTGCTCTCCCAAGTCAGTCAGCAGGTAGGTGAGCCAGCGTAACTCTTGTGCAGCCATGGCTGTGGCGTAGATCTTAGCCTCACAACTGGAGCTGAGAACAGAAGACGAGCGTGTAGACCGCCAAGAAACAGAGCCAGAGCCAAGACTGAAGGTGTAACCCTGTGACGACCGCTGCGTAGCCTGGTCGTCAACCCAAGACGCGTCAGAGTGTCCAGTGAGGACAACGTCACCCCGTCCTCCAAGCACGAGCCCCATGCCCGATATACTGCACAGGTAGCGGAGTACCCTCGTCGACGTACACGAGGATGTAGAAAGGCGGCAGCGAAGTGTCGGTGCGCAGAAACAGCGACGGGTCAGCTGTCGAAGGAGCAAACCCAAGAGCCGCAAGTGTCGTCCTCAGTGTGTCGTGCCACTCACGAGGCGCCTGGTGGAGACCGTAGACTGGCCGGCGGAGGCTCCACTGGGTACCAGGAGGGAACGACCCAGTGAAGCCAGGTGGGCGGCGCAGCCAGATCTCCTCGTGCAGGCTACCCTGTAAGAAGGCTGTGCTGAAGTCAAGAGATTGAAGCTCGTAGTCACGCTGAGCGGCAACGTGCAGCAGCACCTGAAGAGTGGTCATCTTCGGGGTGGGGGAGAAGGTCTGGAAGAAGTCAACTCCCTCTCGCTGACTGAAGCCTCGAGCAACGTAGCGAGCCTTGAAGACAGGCGGAGAACCCGGCGGCCGCTTCACCCTGAAAATCCACATGCCATCGACGATGTTCGCCCCGGGAGGGGGAACCTCATCGACGTAAGTGCCTGTGGACTTCTAGGATGCCATCTCTGCGTCCATGGCTGCCTGCCACTGAGAGGAGTACTCACCTGCGATCGCCTCAGCGTAAGAGCGCGGGGTCGGGATGTCTACAGCATCCGGGTCTCCCTCAGGGGCAAGCAGCATGGCCACGAGATGAGGCGCAGCGGCTGCAAGACACTCAAGGTTCTCGTGCCTGTCCTCAAGGACGTCCGTGCCAAGAGCACACTCACCCCCGACGGACGGAGGACAGACAGACTCAGACTCAGCAACAAGGCTAGCAACGTAGTCTAGACGACAGGCAGCAGCAAAGTCAACAAGCTCAGCGACTAAGGCAGACGCAGCAGCAGACTCAAACGACGGGTCAGTGACAACAGTGGCTAGCAGACGCGTGACAGTAGGGTGCTCAGCACGAAATCGGTCAGACTCAGGGTCCGGAACGTCAGGCAAAGAAGACGCAGGAGGAGACGGCAGAGGAACACGCTGTGGAACAGAGGAAGGACGAAGTGCCATAATGTGCGTGCCAGGGACAGGAGGAGGACGCTCACGACTAACACGAATAGTGCGACGAATGCGACCAGTGCGACTAGTGCGAACAGGCGAGACAGGACGGGACGCAGGCTCGCGACGCTCAGTAAGACCTCCTGTCTGCTCAGTGTAAGGAGAGGGAGCAGGCAGGGGGGAGCCTGGCTGTAACGGTAGGCCAGTGGAAGACGGCAGGCTAAGAACCTGGTGAAGCATTGTGTTAGGAGGCGGTAGAGACGACGGTGACGGCGGAGAGAAGAACAGTCGCTGCGCAGCAGTGCCACCAGCACCAGTAGCTCCAGTGCCTCCAGCAGCTCCAGAACCTCCAGCAGCTCCAGACCCTCCAGCTCCAGCTCCTCGAGCGCCAGCACCACCAGCAGCCGCAGAACCTCCAGCGCCAGCACCGCCAGTACCAGCGTCACCAGCAGCAGCACCCCCAGAACCGGCAACTCCAGTCCCAGTGTCTCCAGCAGCAGCACCCCCAAAACCGGCACCTCCAGTCCCAGGGTCTCCAGTAGTAGCACCCCCAGACGCAGCACCTCCAGCCCCAGCAGCTCTAGTACCTCCAGTACGAGCACCTCCGGGTCTAGCGGCTCCAGCACCTCCAGCAGACAAAGTACCCGCAGTACTCCCAGCTCCAGTGTCAGCAGCTCCAACAGCACCTCCTGCGGCAGGGTCAGCAGGCACAGGCAGCAGGCAAAGGCAGCAGGCACAGGCAGCAGGCAAAGGCAGCAGGCACAGGCAGCAGGCAAGGGCGGCGCGCAAAGCAGCCGCAAGCTGCGCGTGGGCTGTCTGGGCGATGCGCTAGCAGCGCAGGCAGCGCGCGGGGCTGCAGCGGGCCGCGCGCGGGCTGCCACGGCGCGGCGCAGGCTTCGTAGGTGGCGCGCGGGGCTGCAGCGGGCCACGCGCGGGCTGCCGTGGCTCGGTGCGGGCTGCGCAAGCGGCGCGCGGGGCAGCAGCGGGCCGCGCGTGAGCTGCCTAAGCGCGGCGCAAGCAGCTAAGGCAACGCGCGGGGCAGCAGCGAGCTGCGCGCGGCTGCCGAGGTGCGACGCGAGCAGCGAGGGCGACGCGCGGGGCAAAAGTGGGCAGCACGCGGTAATTAGGTCTGCGCGCGAAGCAGCAGCAGACAGCTCAGACAGCAGACAGCAGGCAGCAGGCAGACGGCGCGCGCAGCGCAGCACGTCACAGGCACAGTCATAGTCACAATCATGGGGTAGCGGTAAGTGGGCCTGAAAAAAAAGACGGTCCTACGGACCTACTGCTCTGAAACCATGTGAGAGGTCTAGGCAGGAATGAATGAACTAGAATGAAGTTGGGTACAAATATGAAACCCTAAAGGGGCTATACCCCATATTGGCTACCCCACTACAGCCTACACATATATATCACATATATAATTTGACAGTATAGAGGCTGCTGCTCCAAGTGCTTGTGAGTCTGTTTCCCTGGGTGCTTGTGAGTCTGCTCTCTCAGGTACTGCGCCTACTGAGGCCTTGTACACTTTCACGCTAGACTCAGGTGCCTCCCGCTGCTTCTTCCGCGACAGCACCACAGTCACACCGCTCTCTGCACCGGTTCCGGTCTCCCTTGCTGACCCCTCCGGGGGCCCTGTCCTTGCACGTTCCTCCACTGTCCTCCCCTGTCCGTCGGTCTCGTCTGGCTCACTTACAGGTCTCCACCTCCCCTCGTTCTCTACAAACCTGGTGAATAACGCTGTCATCCAGGATGAGTGTGTTGACAACTTCACCCCTGGAGGACGTCGTGTGGCGATCTGCACGTGTGCCCGCACGGGCCGCCACCTGGCCACGTTCACCCGTCGGCCTGGGTCGAGTCTGTACACCCTGACTGTCGGGTCTCCCCAGGTTGCTGCTACTGGTCAGGTGTCCTTGTCAGGTTCGGCGTCTGCCCCTTGCTTGTGTCGTTGCCTGTTGCACAAGACTCTCCTTTGGCACCACCGCCTTGGTCACCCCTCTCTGTTGCGCCTCCGTGGCATGCACTCCCGTCTGCTTGTCTCTGGTCTTCCCCAGTCGCTGCCGTCGCTCCCACGCTCGCCTGCCCCGCCGTGTCTTCCTTGCGTCGAGGGGCGGCAGCGCGCCGCTCCTCAATCCTCCTCGTTTCCCACGACAGACGCTCCCCTGCAGACTCTCCACATGGACGTGTGGGGCCCAGCCCGCATCCGTGGACAGGGCCGCGAGCAGTACTTTCTGCTGGTTGTTGACGACTACTCGCGGTACACCACGGTCTTCCCCTTGCGCAGCAAGGGTGAAGTCCCTGCTGTCTTGATCCCTTGGATCCGCGCTGTCCGTCTCCAGCTCCGCGACCATTTCCAGACGGACTTTCCCGTCCTACGTCTGCACTCTGACAGAGGTGGTGAGTTTTCCAGTCGTTCACGCTTCCGGCCTCTCCACAGCAGAATGGGGTTGCTGAGCGCCTCATTGGCCTAGTCATGGAGATCGCTCGCACCTCCATGATCCATGCAGCTGCTCCCCATTTTCTGTGGCCGTTTGCGGTCCGGTACGCTGCGCATCAGCTCAACCTCTGGCCCCGTGTCTCCTTGCCGGAGACCTCGCCCACACTACGTTGGACGGGGAAGGTTGGCGATGCGTCGCGCTTCCGGGTCTGGGGCTCTCGTGCCTTTGTCCGCGATACCACCGCGGACAAGCTCTCCGCTCGCGCCATTCCCTGCGTCTTCCTTGGCTTCCCTACTGACGCGCCTGGCTGGCAGTTTTACCACCCCACCTCGCGCCGTGTTCTGTCCTCTCAGGACGTCACATTTGACGAGTCGGTTCCCTTTTACCGTCTCTTCCCCTACCGCACTGCCTCTCCCCCCCCCCCCCCCCCCCCCCCCCCCCCCCCGTTCTTCCTCGCTCCAGGTCCGCCCCCGGTAGATCCCCTCCCACTCTTCGGGTGCTGCTGCACGTTGCAGCTCAGCGTGACTACGAGCTTCACTCTCTTGACTTCAGCACAACGTTCTTGCAGGGCAGCCTGCACGAGGAGATCTGGCTGCGCCACCTCCAGGCTTCACTGGGTCGTTCCCTCCTGGTACCCAGTGGAGCCTCTGGCGGCCAGTCTACGGTCTCCGCCAGGCACCTGGGAGGCACAGGCG